TTTCATTAAAATCACAATTAAGATACAGTTTTATTTAAAAAATATATATGTACAATTTGAAGACAAAATTAAGAATAAAATTTGATCACCTAAAAAAAAAAAAAGAACAGATTTGAGGCCATAGACACTAATGAATGCTGTGGAAGAATATCAAGAATATCATCCATGAAGAATGCAAAATGTCATCACAGAGAAGAGAAAGAAAAGACGAAAATGGATGCCAGAAGAAACTCTGAATATTGCACTAGAGTACCAAGAAGCCGAAGCAAAGAGAAGAAACCAGGAAATCAAAGAGCTGAACAGAAAATTTCAAAGGGAAGCTTGGTAAGACAAAGAAAAGTATTACAACAAAATGTGCTAAGAGCTGGAATTGGAAAATCAAAAGGGATGAACTCACTAGGCATTTCTTAAGCTGAAGGAACAAAAGAAAAAATATTCAAGCCTCGAGTTGCAATATTTAAAGATGATATGGGTGGAAAATTGAATGATCCAGGATGCATCAAAAGAAAATGGAAGGAGTACACAGAGTCATTATACCAAAAATAACTGGCTAAAACAGAAAAATTTAAAGAAACAGTATATGATTAAGAGGCAATGGTGATGAAGGAGGAAGTTCAAGCTTTTCTGAAGAATTGACAAAAAACAAGGGGCCGGTAATTGATGGCATATCAGTTGACATATTTCAGCAAACATATTTTAGCACTGGAAGTGCTTACCAAGTTGTGCCAAGAAATTTAGAGAACAGCTGCCTGGCTAGCTGACTGGACGAGATCCATATATATATTCCCATTCCAAAAAAGGTTGATCTGACAGATTGTGGAAATTATCAAGCACTATCACTAATATCACACACAAGCAAAATTTTGCTGAAGATTATCCAAAAACAACTGGAACAGTACATCACCAGAGAACTATCAGGAGTATATGCTGGGTTTAGAAGAGGCTGTGGTACTAGGGACATCATTGCCAATGTCAGATAAATTTTGACTGAAAACAGAGAGTACGAGAAGAATGCCTGTGTTTCATTGACTATTCAAAGGTATTTGACTGTGTGGATCACAACAAGTTGTGGCTAACCTTGAGAAGAATGGGAATCCCAGAACACCTGTTTGTGCTCATGTGAAACCTGTACTTGGACCAGGAGTCAGTTATCAGAGCAAGAAAATTCAGTATGGTTCAAAATTAGGAAAGGAATGTGTCAGGGATTTATTCTGTCTTCATATCTTTTCTATATATATGCAGAACAGATCATTTGGGAGGCTGGTCTTAATGAGGAGGAATGTGGCATCAGAATTGGAGGAAGACTCATCAAAAACTTGCATTATGCAAACAACACAACCTTGCTTGCTGAAACTGAGAACATGAAGCATCTTCTGCAGAAAGTCAAAGACTGTAGTCTTCAATACAGACTGAAGCTCAACATCAAGAAAACAAATATTCTTACCATTGGGCCAGTTGGCAGCACCATGATAAGTGGGGAAGAGATTGACATGGTCTACAATGTCAGCTTGCTCTCATCTATAATTAACAATTTTGGAACCAACAGCCAAGAAATAAAAAGATGAATTTATTGGGAAAAATCTGTGGTCAGGGACCTCTTTAGAGTGCTTAAATGAAATAATGTCTATCTAGAGACTAAGGTATGCCTGATCCAAGCTAAGATCTTTGTACTTACTTGCTTTGCATTAGAAAACTGGACAATGACTAAGGATGACAGAAGAAGAAGTGATGCCTTTGAGTTGTAGTGCTGGAGAAGAGCACTGAACATAACATGGACTGACTAGAAAACAAACAAATCTGTTCTGGAGAGGGTGAAACCAACTTGCTTTCTAAAGGCAAGGATTTTGAAGCTCTGTCTCACATACTTTGGTCATGTTGCCAGGAGGGCCCAGTTTTTGGAGAAGAACATCATGTTTGGAAGGATGGAGGGACAATGTAGGAGAGGAGGACCTTGGATGAGATGAATTGACAAAGTGACTGGGGGAATAGGGAAAGGTGTGTTGAAGACAGTGAGAAGTGAGATTGGCTTAGGATAGGACAGAGTTCAGAGCTATTGGGCATAGAGTGGCTATGAGTCGCAGATGGTACATGACAAACACAACAGCCATAACCTTACAGATCTGCTTGTAATTCTGCCTTGTTGGTATCCAAGAGGTTGGAATTTACAACACAAAAATGAGTTACATTATACTGAGAATCACTGTCATGTTAACACATAATATTAACCATGGCAATGCCCTTCTAGAGGAACTGACCTTTCTTGAAAATAAGTCTAAAGCATGTGAAACAGTCACACCATCTCTGCCTCTAAAGAAGCACGCTAGCTGCACTTTTTCCAAGACAGATTTGTTTCTTCTGTTAACAGTCCATGGGATATTACTTTCCACCAACCACAAATTGAAATATTTGATTCTACTTTCATCTTCCTTATGCATTATTCAGCTTTCAGATGCATATGAAGCAATTGCAAATATGATGGCTTGGATCAGGCGAGCCTTAGTCTTTAAGTTGACGTCCTTCCCTTTAACACTTTGGAAAGGTCCTTGACAGCAGATTTCCCCCATGCAAAATATCTTTTGATTTCTTGATTTCTGTGACCATGGATGTGGTTATAGATCCACGTAAAATGAAACCATTGCCCACTTCAATCTTTTTCCTTCTACCATGATGCCTGTTGGTCCAGTGGTGATGATTTCTGTCTTCCTGATGTTTTGGTATAACCTGTTTTTTATAAATAAAAAAATAAATTTTTATTTTATATTGGTTTGCTGGCAAAGTTCATATACATTCTGTTTCACAATATCTTTCATTCACATCGTGTGTCATACAATCATTCTCTTTGATTATATTTTATAAAATCAATGGGGAAAAAACTGGTGGGGATCTGGAAGGATATGACCCATTTAGAAGGTCTTTGGTCTTCTGCAGTAAGTGTTTTAAATCTTCTTCACTTTCTGCAAGTAAGGCTCTGTTATCTGTATAATGTATGTTGCTGCAACATTTGTTGTTCTTGTTAGGTTTTGTCAAGTACAACTCATAGTGACCCTATGAACAACAGATCTGAGCCTGTCTTCTCCTGTGCCATACTGAAAACCTTTGATATATCTGCTTGGTTTTTTTTTTGACAGTTCATGGGATATTTAGTACTCTTCTCTAACACCACAGATCAAAGGCATTGCTTCCTTCTCTATCATCCTATTCGTTATCCAGCTCTCAGATGCATAGTAAGTGGTAAAAAGATGTACCTTAGTCCTAAAACTGACATCATTGCTCCTGAATATTTTGGAGAGGTCCCTGACTGCACTCTTTCCCATTGCAATATATCTCCTAATCTCCTGATTGCTGATGCTAAGGGTGTTGATTGTGGATGCAAGTAAGATGAAGCTGCTGCTGGTTTCAGTCTTTTCTCTATCATAATAGAGAATTTTTCTAATTTTTCAGTCCAGTGGTGAGAATTTTTGCTTTATTGACAAGATGCCTTCTATACTGAAGACAGTATTTTTTTAAAAATCCTCTGCAGCAAGTCTCCTCACTTTCAGCAAGCAAGGTTGCATCATCTGCATAATGTTGGTTATTGAAGAGTCCTCCTTCAATCCTGGTATCATATTCTTCTTCAGAGATTCCAGCTTCTTGAATAACTTGCTCATCATATAGATTAACCAAACATCTAGAAGATATATAACCCTAATGCATACTTCTCTTAATTTTGAACCATGAAAAGGCATTTAATTGTGTGGATCACAATAAATTTTGGCTAACCTTGAGGAAAATGGGAATCTCAGAACACTTGATTGTGCTTATACGAAACTTATATTTGGACCAAGAAGCATTCTTCAGAACAGAACAAGGAAACGCTGCATGGTTCAAAATCAGGAAAGGAGTGTGCCAGGGATGCATTCTGTTCCCATACCTTTTCAATCTGTATGCAGGACAGATCATTCGGGAAACAGGGCTTTATGAGGAAGAGTGTGGCATCAAGATTGGAGGAAGACTCATTAACAACCTATGATATGCAGATAACACAACCTTGCTTGCTGAAACAAACAAAACAAAACAAAACAAAAACCCAAACTTGAAGCACCTGCTGCAAAAGGTCAAAGGATTGTAGGTTTCAATATGAATTAAAGCTCAACATCAAGGTGAGCTCTGGTGGCCTAGTGGCAGGAGGCTGCACTGCAGTCCCAGAGGTGCACGGTTCAAATCCACCAGATGCTCTGCCGCGAAAGGGGGGACAATCTCCTCTTGTACCAGTCAGATCCGATTTGACAGTACACACACACACACACACACACACACACACACACACATAAAATAATTAAAAAAAACAAAACTCAACTTCAAGAAGACAAAGCTTCTCACCACTGGGCCAATTGGCAGCACCATATTAGATGGAGAAGAGGTTGAGGTTGTTAGCAATTACAACTTGCTTGGATCCACAAGCAACACTCTTAACACCAGCAGTCAGGAAATCAAAAGACAAATTGCATTGGGTAAATCTGCTGTCAGGGACCTCTCCAGAGTGCTGAAGAGCAACAATGTCAATCTAGATACAAAGGTGCACCTAATCCAGGCCATGGTCTTCTCAGTTATTTGTTATGCTTCAGAGAATTGGACAATGACTAAGGATGACAGAAGAATAGATGCCTTTGAGTTGTGGTGCTTGAAAAGAGTCTTGAACATAACATGGACTGTCAAGAAAACAAATAGATCTGTCCTGGAGAGGGTGAAACCAAGTAGCTCCTTGTAGGCTAGGATTTTGAAGTTCTCTCACTTACTTTGAGCATGTGGCCAGGAGAGATCAGTCCTTGGAGAAGGACATCATGCTTGGAAGGGTGGATGGACAGAGCAGGTGAGGAAGACCCCGGATGAGATGGATTGATACAGTAACTGGGGCAATGGGGGTTGGTGTGTCAGAATTAGTGAAACTGGCTCAGGACAGGGAAGGGTTCAGAGCTGCTGAATAGGGTTGCTATGCATCACAGGCAATTCAATGACACATAACAATAATAACATACTATGGCAGGTTTGGAAGCAGGAGTGGCATCTACTTCCTAAATAATATGCCTCCCGAAACTCTAAGAACTTTGGTAAAAGTCGATAGTTGTAGAGGGGTTTCAGGCCTTTTGTTCGTAGAGTCACTACGAGTCACGCTTGACTCAAAGGCAATCAACAACAATGTTTCCTTGCTCTGTTTGCACAATGGCTTCTTGATCTAGGTATAGGTTTTGCATGAGCACAATTAAGCTTTCTGGGATTCCCATTCTTCTCAGTCAGAATTTGTTATGTTTCACGCAGTTAAATACTTTTTCACAGTCAATAAAACACAAATTGACATTCTTCTGGTATCAACACATGGTGATGGTGGTGGTTGTTAACTTCTGTTGAGTCAAGTATGACTCATAGCAACCCTATAAACAACAGATCTGAACTTTACCCTATCTTGTGCCATCTTTATGTTCTCTGACACACTCAGGCCAATTGCTGCAGTCACTGTGTCAAATTCCCCTGGATGAGGGTCTTCCTTTCCTTTGCTGTCCCTCCACCTTTCCAAACATGACGTTCCTCTCCAAGAAATAACCTCTCTTAGCAACATGCCATATGTGTTGAATTTTTTTAATGTCAGAACTTGGAATCTTATGCAAAAAGGACAACGAGTGACTCAGTGTCTAGGGATTGGGACAACAAGGTAGAGAAATGTAAAAAAAAGATGACTCTAAATCAGCGGCTCCAGCTGGAGTACAGAGCAGATGGAGAAGTAGCAGGTATCTGGTGATGATTCTGCCATGACCAATTCTGTTTTAAAGGTTTGGGATTGATAGTGGCAGAATAAGAAATGCGGCAGCACTTAAGTTCCAAGAACCCAAATGGTAAAGGGACAAATGCTATGGAAGGCAGAAACCTGAGAAGCAGATCCTTTGACCTTTGTAGATCTATTGATGTTACTAATCACTCTTCCTCCTCTCTATGCAGTCCCTGCCCTCTGCAGGAACTTTGTACCACCCATAATCCATCCTTTGCAACTTTCTTCTCTTCTATTTTCAGATCAATATTAGAGCATGGCCAAATCTTTCCTTGCTCACAAACAAAAGCACATTTCTGGATTTTGGAGACAACACCTTGCAAGGGTAAGGAAAAATAAGTCACACCCCCTTAGATCTCAGGTGACAGAGACAGGGAGAAGTCTTTGATGTCTGGCACATTTTTGCACTCTTCAGTGACACTTTAGTCGATGTTACTTATTTCTCTAGCAAGAAGACCATCTGCTATGTGACTAATAAGATGAAGATGAAAACTGACAGAGACTAATCATCACCCTATGCCACCATTTGGTTGCCCAGGATGTGGCCTAAAGGTTCAGGGAGCTAGCCATCACTGCCTAAGACATAAAACTCTGCACCAAAGGAAGAAACTGAATCAAACCTCCTGGGCTGGTGGCCCATTTTCCCCTCAGAGATCTTGTCTACTCATGAATGAAGATCGTGGATTGAAGAGGTCACGCCCATCTTTTCTGTTAGCACCTACACTAAGAGAGTAACTCTGGTACCATTGTTAGCATCTATGAATAGGACTCCTTGAAGTACTATTTTCTGTTAATAAATTGCTTTTAAGTACAAAACCAAAAACAAACCCACAAAATCTCTAGCTCCACATTCTCCAGTTCCTACCCTATCATTTCTCTTTCTAGTCACTGCCAAAATTTCATTTCCTTCTCACTACCCAACTCATTTCAATCTACCTTCTATCACCAAAAGTCCAATGAGCCTGCTCATTGCAAAGTACCAGTAACTCTGAAGTTTTGCTGTATAGTCTGGTAGAGAGAGGCCTCTTTGTCTCTGAGTCTCTATTTCTCCTACTCTACTGTAATACAAATATCAAATGTGGATGATTTTAAAGAATAGATGTTCATTTTCTCACAGTTTCACTCATTACTGTTGAGTCAGAATTGCATGGTAGCTGACCCTCCATTGGGTTTCTGGGACTATAACTTGCGTAGGGAAAGATTGTTCATTTTTTTTTTTTTTAGATTGTTCATTTTTGTCCTGCAGAGTGTCTGGTGTATTTGAACTGCCAGCAAGCTGTGGTCTTTGGGTTAGCATTTCTACTGACTTCTACTTCCTACTGACTACTCAAACCTCTCACCTCACTATTTAGGAATTTATGCATCCAAACAGAGGGCACCCACTCTAGAATGAAGGGGTGTGTGTGTGTGTGTGTGTGTGTGTGTGTGTGTGTGCTAGAGGAGAATGTTCTTTGTTTCTTTTCTGTAGCTCTAGCATTCCTTGGTTTCTTGGTAACGTGGCATCTACCCTCCTCATTTGTGCATTTGTATATCTATCTTTATTTTTTATTAATTAGAAGCTATCAGATTGAGAACATATTTTTGATTAATCTAAACTCATTAACATAATAAAAAGACCCTATTTCCAAATGAGATACATACACGGATATATTGTTGTTGTTAGGTGCCATCTAGTTGACCACAAATCATAGCAACTTTGTGAATAACAGGTCACAATTTTGCCCTATCCTGCACCATTCTCATGATCTCCCACATGGCAGAGTTCATTCTGTCGATCCATTTTGTTGAAGGTCAGTCTTCCACTTTCTCTGACTTACTTCTCGCAGTATGACATCTTTTTTTCCCAAGACTTGTTCTTCCTGACAACATATCAGAAGTATGTGAAACAAAGTTTCACTTTCTTTACCTCTAAGGAGAGCCTTGGTTCTACTTCCTCCAACATAGACTTACTTGTTCTTTTAGCAGTCCATAGGATATTCAGTACTCTCCAGATGACCTTGACGTGAAAGAGGAAGAACAGTGATCGGAACCACGTGGAAAGAAAAGTGAAACAGTCCAGACTTCTTCATCTCAGTAAGAGACAGTGCCAAGGAACATTAGTTCATCTTGATAAGAAACAGTGTTAATGATGACCACAGCTGCTGCTCTCTCTCTTCTGTAGCGATGGCGCTTTCCATCTTCATTCTTCGGCTGATTCTCTACATCCTGGCACTCCCCATGTACCTCCTGAACTTTCTGGGTGTGTGGAGTTGGATATGCAAAAAATACTTTCCCCACTTCTTGGTAAGGTTCACAGTGACGTATAATGAGCGCATGGCGAGCAAGAAGCAGGAACTTTTCAGCAACCTGCAGGAGTTTGCAGGCCCCTCCGGGAAGCTCTCCCTGCTGGAGGTGGGCTGTGGCACCGGGGCCAATTTCAAGTTTTACCCACATGGATGCAGGGTGACCTGTATTGACCCCAACCCCAACTTTGAGAAGTTCTTGATCAAGAGCATCGCGGAGAACCGGCACCTGCAGTTCGAGCGCTTCGTGGTGGCTGCCGGGGAGAACATGCACCAGGTGGCCGACAACTCCGTGGACGTGGTGGTCTGCACCTTGGTGCTGTGCTCGGTGCAGAACCAGGAGAAGATCCTCCGGGAGGTATACCGAGTGCTGCGGCCGGGAGGAGCTTTTTATTTCATGGAACATGTGGCAGCCAAGCCTTCGACCTGGAACTACTTCTGGCAACAGGTCCTGAATCCTGTCTGGTTCCTTCTGTTTGATGGGTGCAGTCTGACCAGGGAAAGCTGGAAGCCGCTGGAGCGGGCCAACTTTTCTAAGCTGAAGCTGCAACACATACACGCCCCGCTGACCTGGGAGCTGGTGCGGCCGCACATCTTCGGATATGCTGTGAAGTAGAGCCGAGAGGGCAGTAGACAGAGTGCCAATGGCGCTTCAGTTGTACAATTAAAATGCTAATTGAGAGAAAGGAAAACCTCTGTTTTCAGTTAAAGTTGAATCTGTAAGTTTTCTGTTATAGTCCATATTTTTCTGTAGTATTCTGTTATAATTTCTCCTATCTCCCAAAGAATTAAAAACAACCAGCTCTGAGCTCTCCCTTAATGGAAATAATGAGCTTTCATCATTGAAGTCCACCATTATCCCTGAACCTTCCCCTATTCAATAATGTCAGACGTGTTTCCAGTTATACATTTATTATTCACCAACAGATTTTAATGCTACCTTCTTTTGTGAGCTTATTTCTAATAAGCTGTTAAATTACTCAAAGGAAGATTGTTTTTTTTAAAGGGAGCAGTAAAAAATCTTAATCATTCACTAACTGAATAAACTTGAAAAAAAATTCCTATCTAAAAAAAAAAATGATGACCACAGTGTGCAGATAATTATTCATAAGGGAATTTTCAAAGATGGAATAAGAACTGATTAAAGACTAGAAAATACATAATTAAGACCCTTCAACAGCCCTTAAAGTTCACCTCATTGTGTCAACTCATCTTGTTTCCTTATGCTGCCACTTTATTTTTGACTATTAGAGATCTCTAATTTGAGATCCCTGAGGATTTTTCCCCCCATGAAGTTCTGTCTTGTTCTACTCAGAGAGACAGTTGGTGTTTCTCTGAGTAGTGATGCACTCTTTTGCTTTATTTTCTCACTGCCATTGCACACAAACTATCTTACTATCCCATCTATGTGGGGGGGGGCATTATCAATTTTTTAAATCCAGCCCTACTAAATTAAGCAGCCACTTATATAAGTAGCTTCTTTATGCTACAAATTGGTATGGCCTGGCAAGATCAAAAGAGTTAATATACCTTTCTTTAAGAAGTCTGAAATGAAGTATTTTGCTTGTGACATTTCTTGGTGGGTGGATCTGCATTATCCGTAACAACTCCAGAATTCAACTCTGGTGGCTTAGTGTTAAGAAGCTGCGGTACAATCCTCCAGTTTGAATCCACCAGCTACTGTGTGGGAGAAGGATGGGTAATCTCCTGTGTCTCTGAAAGTCCTCCAGAGGGTCAGCTATCAGTCAATTCTAACTCTACAGTACTCCACAGTAACAAGTCTTTAGAAGATAGATTATCCAGACTGTCCTAAAGCAGAGTGTGCTCTGGATCTCCTTCAAGGCCAGCCACAGCACCCCAGTTCTATGCTAGCAATAACAGGAGTGCTAACAGAGTCCTGCTAATGAGGTTCAGGAAACTGAATTGCCCCCACTGATAGAAATCAGTATCCCTCATCCTATCAGCTGAATCCCAGGTCACTGTTGACATGAGAAATAATATAATCCTTTCCTAATGCAAAAGCAGTTTTCTCAGTTCTACCTTTCCTTTTAAGACTTCCCTTCCCCAACTGAAAGTGTAAAGTTAAAAATGTAAGCATTAACAAAACCCTAAACCTTAAAACCAAAATGCTCACCTTGTAGTTTTTTTCATAATACCTCTATTTTATAGCCTTTAACTGTCTAACATCAGATTCTGCAAGTAAAACAGTGGACATTCTTGGGACTATGCCAGAAGCATCTGCACACATCCACCATTCATTCCCATTGTTGTTGTTGCTGATTGCCTCCGAGTCGAGTACGACTCATAGCGACTCCATAAACAAAAGGCCTGAAGCCCCTCTATAATGATTTCCATAATATAATTAATATTAACTCTTTATTTTCTGCTGTCTGCTAGATTCATTGTACTAATGCCATTATATTAACTACTAAAGATATTTCTGTTACCAGATTATGTAGATCCTCTAACTACCCACCTACAAACAAACAAATTACAAATCTCCAGAAGTTCCAGGAGCCAAGAATGTTGGTAAAACTCCTAAAGGTTGTACAGTTAATTAAGTAAAGTGTGTTGCCTGAAGCCAAAGTACAAACTTGCACCATCTATAAGTGGCACAGGAAATGTGAATCCTTGTTAGAATTAACCAAACAGTTGTAAAAGGCATAAGAATTTGTAAGAGATGATTAAACAGATGTAGAAAGCATGAGGAAGTGTGTAGTAGAAATGTCTGTAGGTGAGTAGGATAATGAGAGTAGTTTTTTAGAAAAAAAAAAAAAGAAAGTAGTTTAATCTTAAAGTAAAAAGTCTATTTTCCATCCCCCCCAAAAAAAGTAAGTGACTAGAAAGTAAGAGGAAGTGACTGGAAAGTAAAAGTAAGTGAATAAAGTATAAGAAAAATGAATAGCGGTTGGAATCCACCAGATGCTCTGCTGGAGAAGGAGGGACAATCTCCTCCTGTACCTGTCAGATCTGATTTGACGGTATACACATACAAAAATAATAAAATAAATTTTTTTTAAAAAGTGAATAAAGAACAAGGAAATTTTATTTAAAGTATTGATGGATTGTTCTGTATAGTCTTTAAAATAAGAAAATTCAATTAAAAAATAAGAAAATTGAGGCAAATAAAGTTTACTCTTGAAAGTTTCATCTTAGTTCAAAATATTCTAAAAAAATCCAGAACCTATCCCTACTGTTACTGCTAAAATCTTGTTTTTCTATCAGGCTTCCAAATTTATATCTTTCAGACTACACCACTTACAGTAGAACATTATGCTAATTCAAAGAAATACAAATTGTCTGAACATAGGAATTTGCATGAGCTCCCAAATCTTCTATGGACCCGTGAATCATGCTCCACCCAAAGAAGTCTAACTGCTATTCGCAAACTACCTCTTCCAGCAGGGAGTAAATAGAGCAGTAGTCGTGCTCACTTCCCGCACAGCAGTTAGAGCTCCCATTCCAGAGTACGCTACAAGTCCCAGAACAGAGTGTAAGTTTCCCCCATCCTGTCTTACCAGCGCAATCTAAATTATTAGCAGAAATCCTTGTATTTATTTAAAAATATTCTTCTTAGACAATTGAGTTTAAACATGAATGTAGTAAAGAGAGCACTCAAAGCAAGTTATTATTGTTAGGAGCTGTTGAGTAGAGTATGACCCATAGAGACCCCAAGAACAACAGATCTGAACCCCATCCTGTCCTGTGCTATCCTCACACTTCTTGACACACTAGAGCCCGCTGGGGTACCCTCAACCAGGTGGTTGAGGGTCTTCCTTTCCTCCACCAACCCTACCATTCCAATCATCACGTCCCTCTCCAAGAAACAGCCCCGTCCTAGCAACATGCTTGAAGTATGTGTGGTGACGCTTCAACATCTTTGCCTCAAAAGAGCACCCTAGCTGCACTTTCTCCAAGACATATTTGTTTGTGTCATTGATTTGAATGAATCAAAGCAAGTACTACCCCTCTATTTACAGAGCATCGGTTTATTTCTGCCTCTTAAATTGCTTTATCAAATAGAAACACTCCTGTACTGAAACCTTTTGTATAAAGCAAATAATATCTTCTACATCCTAAAAAAATTGTAAAGGAAAAATAAAAATGGGGAGATGTAGGGGTTAAGCTGACAAAGGCAGGAGCTGCATAGGTTAAAAAAAATATAATTGAAAGACTACAATCAGGACAAAAATAATACTCTGCCCTAAGCCCATATATTTAGATTTATGTGTGTGTCCGTGTAAAACTTTGATTCTCCCTCAGGGAAACAAGAAAGATTAATGAAAATAATTTTTAAAAAACCACAATAGTCAAAACCATTTTGGAGCCTACTTAACATATTTTACTATCTATGTAATGAAAAACTTGTCAATAAAAGCTATGAGAACGTGCAGGTCAGGAGGAAACTCAACCATAAGATCCTCTTTCCTTACCTCTTGACTAACTAAAGTTGTGAATAGCTTATTCCATCTCCCAGCATGTTCCTGCTGGTTAAAAAAAAGTGCACCGCTCTTCTCCAACACCGCAATTCAAAGGCATAATTCTTCTGTCATCCCTCTTTATTATCTAACTTTCACATGCATAAGATGCAATTGAAAACACGATGGCTTGAATCAGGCACAACTTAGTTTTTAAACTGACATCGTTCTTCTTTAGCATTTTGCATAAGTTCTTAACGAAAGATTTCCCCTATGCAACATGTCTTTTGACTTTTTTACCACAGTTACCAGGAGTGTTGATTGTGGATCCAAGAAAAATTAAATATTGAGAACTTCAATCTTTTTTCCACTTACAACAACATTATATCTTTTTTTGTTTGTTCTTTATTTTTTATTTTTATTTTCAAATTTGTGTGTATGTGTGAATGTGTGTATGTGTGCATGTGTGTGTGTACCATCAAATCGGTAGAGGAGGAAATTGCTTCTCCTTCTCTAGCAGAACATCTGGTGGATTCCAACCGTGTGCCTTCAGTATTGTAGTGCAGCTCCTTGCCACTAGGCCACCAGAGCTCCTTTCAGCAACTTAAAAATAACCTTCAGCAAGAATTTTACTTGCTGAAATACACCCTATTTCAAATGCCAACAGTTTCCCCAGTGGTGGATAGATTTCAGGGGAGCTTACAGATTAAGACAAAGAAGCAGGATTAGCTAACCACTTCTTAAAGAATAGATCTCTGAAAATCTAATCTAATCTAAGGGATATTTTTAGATATAGTACTGGAAGTAGGGCTCTTCAGATTGGAAAGCACAAAAAAATGAGGATAAATAGATGTAAATATCCATTGATAACTGGAACTTGGAATGTACAAAGTACAAATTTGGAAAAATTAGAAGCTATCAAAGAATGTATAGAGATCCAAGATGGCGGCAGAGGCAGAGACAGCCTGGTTAGCTGCGGGAGCAGCGAACCACATAAAGCAGGGCCATTATGGCCTTCCACAGACTTCGGCTTATTGATAATTGAACACTTAAACAGTTGATGACTGGCCATCAGTGAAGATCGAGGCCCAACAACAGGAATTCAAGGATTCCCAAGGAGAAATGGGTGAGTCTCGTGGCTCCCAACAGTCCCCTGCAGAGCCCTCGCTGCGCCGCACAGCTGCTGCAGCTCCATGAG